GAGTGCAGTGGTGTGATCATTGCTAACTGCAGTGTTGAACTTTTGGCTCAAGCAATCCTCCTGCCTCAGCCTCCCAAGTACCCGGGACCACAGGTGCCAGCCATCATGCCTAGCTAAATTTTTTTAATGATCGCCATTCTAACTGGCATGAGAGGGAATCTCATTGTGGTTTTGATTTGCATTTCTCTAATGAGCATTTTTTCATATGTTTGTTGGCCTCATAAATGTCTTCTTTTGAGAAGTGTCTGTTCATGTATTTCACCCACTTTTGAATTGGTTTGTTTGTTTTTTTTCTTGTAAATCTGTTTTAGTTCTTTGTAGATTCTGGGTACTAGCCCTTTGTCAGATGGGTAGATTGCAAAATTTTTTTCCATTCTGTCGTTTGCTGGTTGAATCTCATGATTATTTCTATTGCTGCACAGAAACTCTTAAGCTTAATTAGATCCAATTTGTCTATTTTGGCTTTTGTTGCCAATGCTTTTAGTGTTTTAGTCATGAAGTTCTTGTCTATGCCTATGTCCTGAATGTTATTGCCTAGGTTTTCTTCTAGATGTTTTATGGTGTTAGAATTTATGTTTAAATCTTTAATCTATCTAGAGTTAATTTTAGTGTAAGGTATAAGGAAGGGGTACAGTTTCTGTTTTCTGCACATGGCTAGCCAGTTTTCCCAACACAATTTATTAAACAGGGAATCCTTTCCCCATTGCTTGTTTTAGTCAGGTTTGTCAAAGATCAGATAGTTGTAGATGTGTGGTGTTACTTTCGAGGCCTCTGTTCTGTTCCATTGGTCTATATCTGTGTTTTGGTACCTGAACCATGCTGTTTTGATTTCTGTAGCCCTGTAGTGTAGTCTGAAGTCAGGTAGCATGATGCCTCCAGCTTTGTTCTTTTTGCTTAGGATTGTCTTGGCTATGTAGGCTCTCATTTGGTTCCATATAAAGTTTAAAGTGTTTTTTTCCAGTTCTGTGAGGAAAGTCATTGGTAGCTTGATGGGGATAGCATTAAATTTATAAATTACTTTGGACAGTATGGCCACTTTTACAATATTGATTCTTCTTAACCATTAGCATGGAATGCTTTTTCTTTCATTTGTGTCCTCTCTTATTTCCTTAAGTAGTGGTTTGTAGCTCTCCTTGAAGAGGTCCTTTACATCATTTGTTAGTTGTATTCCTAGGTATTTTATTCTCTTTGTAGAAATTGTGAATGGGAGTTCGCTCATTATTTGGCTCTCTGTTTATCTGTTATTGGTGTATAAGAATGCTTGTGATTTTTGCACATTGATTTTGCATCCTGAGATTTTACTGAAGTTTCTTATCAGCTTAAGGAGATTTTGTGCTGAGATGATGGGGTCTTCTAAATATACAATCATGTCATCTGCAAATAGAGACAATTTGACTTCCTCTTTTCCTAATTGACTACCTTTATTTCTTTTTCTTGCCTGATTGCTCTAGCTAGAACTTCCAATACTATATTGTATAGGAATGGTGAGAGAGGGCATCCTTGTCTAGTGACAGATTTCAAAGGGAATGCTTCTGGTTTTTGCCCATTCAGCGTGATATTGGCTGTGGACTTGTCATAAATAGTTTTTGCTATTTTGAGATATGTTCCATCAATACTTAGTTTATTGAGAGTTTTTAGCATAAATGGCTTTTGAATTTTGTCTAATGCCTTCTCTGCATATATTGAGATAATCATGTGGTTTTTGTCTTTGGTTCTGTTTATGCGATGGATTACATTTATAGATTTGCATATGTTGAACCAGCCTTGCATCCCGGGAATGAAGCCTACTTGATCGTTATGAATAAGCTTTTTGACGTGCTGTTGCATTTTGTTTGCCAGTATTTCATTGAAGTTTTTTTAATCAATGTTTATCGTGGATATTGGCCTGAAGTTTTCTTCTTAAGTTGAGTCTCTGCCAGGATTTGGTATCATGATGATATTGGTCTCATAAAATCAGTCAGGGGGGATTTCCTTTTCTTGTATTGTTTGGAATAGTTTCAGAAGGACTAGTCCCAGCTCCTCTTTGTACGTCTGGTAAAATTAGTCTGTAAACCCCTCTGACCTGTGCTTTTTTTGATTGGTAGGTAATTAATTGCTGCCTCAACTTCAGACCTTGTTATCGGTCTATTTAGGGATTCAACTTCTTCTTTGTTTAGTCTTGGGAGTGTTTAAGTGTACAGGAATTTAACAATTTCTTCTTGATTTGCTGGTTTATGTGCATAGAGTTGTTTGTAGTAACCTCTGATGCTCATTTGTATTTCTATGGCATCCGTGGTGATATCCCCTTTATCATTTTTTATTGCATCTATTTGATTCATCTCTCTTTTCTTTTTTATTAGTCTGGCTAGCTGTCTGTCTATTCCTCGCTTCTCATGTGGGCATTTAATGCTATAAATTTCCCTCTAGACACTGCTTTAAATGTGTCCCAGAGATTCTGGTACATTGTATCTTTGTTCTTATTGGTTTCGAAGAACATTTTTTTTTTCTGCCTTTATTTTATTGTTTATCCAGTCGACATTCAGGAGCAAGTTGTTCAGTTTCCTTGTAGTTTTGTGACTTTGAGTGAGTTTCTTAATCCTGAGTTCTAATTTGATTGCACTGTGGTCTGATAGACAGTTCGTTATGACTTTTACTTTTTTCCATTTGCTGTAGAGTTATTTACTTCCAACTATGTGGTCAATTTTAGAGTAAGTGTAATGTGGTGCTAGGAAGAATGCATATTCTGTGGATTTGGGGTGGAGAGTTCTGTAGATGTCCATTAGGTCCACTTGATCCAGATCTGAGTTCAAGTCTTGGATATCCTTGTTGATTTTCTGTCTCATTCATCTGTTTAATATCAACAGAGGAGTGGTTAAGTCTTCCCCTATCATT